AGGGTTGCAATCCCGTTGCCGGTCCCGGTCTGGTACGGGCGCGACACTGAGGGTTGCAATCCATTGCCGGACACGAAAAAAGACAAAAAAGAGAGAGAGAAAAAAAAAAGGAGGCTTAGAGGTCACAGAGTTTGGTTTTCTCATTTTATGGTTGAAGAAANTCTGGTACGGGCGCGACACTGAGGGTTGCAATCCATTGCCGGACACGAAAAAAGACAAAAAAGAGAGAGAGAAAAAAAAAAGGAGGCTTAGAGGTCACAGAGTTTGGTTTTCTCATTTTATGGTTGAAGAAACACAAGATCAGGAAAGTTGGGTGACTTGTCCAAGTGAGTGAATGTTGTGGATACTTTTGTGTCCCATAGCTGAACTGTGTTTGTCCAAGGGATGGAGCAGGCTTTCGGAGGTCTCTCTCTGTGACTATCTGATTCCCCAACTGTGCATACCACCAAGGAGGGTAAAGTTAATAGAACTAGGGCAGGTTGGGTTGGGTGGAACAGGGTGGAAGGACATGGTTTGGGAAGATCCCTCACATACAGCACTTCTGATGCTTGGGCCAAAGGCTTCACGGACAAACAAGGGTGCCAGGGTGGGCTCGAAGAAGGCTCCTGTCTTCTCTACGCACGTCTTCCATCGCGGGTGGGCTGGCTGTGGGGACAAGGCTGGAGTGAGCGGCTCCTGGCCAGGGCTCTCTTCTCATCCATTTTCCCAAGCCAATCTTCTCTAGCATTTCATCCCCAGAGGGCACTCTCTTCACTGCACTTTCTGGGGTGTTTGTCTCCTCTATGGTATAGAGGGCCTATGTCCTCCTCCAGGATTAGTCTTGTGAGCCTAGCTGAGCAAATCATCCATGTTTACCACCTACTGAATTTGAAAGCAATGCTTCTAGGAGGCCTTCTTCTGGGGGACTGAAAGGCTCCTGGAAAGGAGAGGACAGAAGCCAAACCTCATACCTTAGCAGGTCTGTTGCCCACCTCTGTCCCCACCCACCACATGCACGGCTCCAGGATCCCAGAAGTGACTCCTATCCTCCACGTGTCTTTGCTGAAAACAGCAATTGGAGACAGCAATTCCCTCCCTCCACCCCCCGCATGGTTACTGTACATCAGATTGTAGAATCTTATAAAGAAGAACATTATCAGAGTAGTATTGTGCTTTAGATGCCATATTGTTTGCTGGGAGAAGAAGACAAAAGACCAAGTGTATGAATTCAGAGAGGTAGGCAACTGTCAGCCAAATCAGGGAAGAGAAAATAGAATGAGCAGATGGAGGGGCTTTGACTTTAGAGGTGGAAAAGTCATTAGACAAACACTCAAAAGGACAGACAGTTGCAGTGGAGGGTTTTGTTTTTTGTGTGTTTGTTTGTTTTTGTTTTTTTTAACAATGGGACCTGGAGAATAAAAAACAAAAAAGAGATGCCAGGGGAGGTTTCAGCGGTGGCTTTGGGTGGCTTTAAAGAATTGACCAAGGGATAAGCCCAAAGATGATGGAGGGTGGACTGAGGAACACACTGAAGGAGCCAGGGAGAGGACTAAGGCAGCTGGCCCCAGGGAGGGCTGACCTGAAACTTATAAAAACCAGATAACATGCTAATCTGGCTTAGGCAGGGTGAAGCCACAAGACTCCATTCTTGTAACTTATTTACTTCCCAAAGATCTGTACACAGGGAAGGTAGGAAGACTGTCACTGTGCTATTGGCATGAGCCTCCCGGTCCTAAGATCAGCAAGGAGGTTGTGGGGCGTCCACTCAAGGAAGCACAAAGGCAGCCAGTTTGGTAGTCATTGAGAAAGAAACTCCAGGGCTGCCTGTCAAGGAGGTGATCGTGGAGGCTGCCTCAGACCTGTCTGCCCACATCTGTGTGTTCTGTTCCCCCACTGTTCATCTCTTCTCTTGTGAAGAGGCGGCTCGGACTCTTCCTGTGGTGTTTCAGTTGGGTTCGGAAACACAAATGTGAACAGCAAACGGAAATTGAGAGGAAATCTGGGTCTGACAGCAACAACTGGGTCAAGAGGAAGCTCTGCTGCCTGCCTGCAGTGTCCTTCTTGGGACATGCTTGGCTCTAGGACTGCCTTGCTCAGACTGTCGCTACACTCGCGACAGTGGTGAATAGCATCAGCGGGCACCCACTTGAGCTCGGCAGTGTGGACTTGCCTGCCCTTTTCACACTGCCCGGTTCATGAGTCATTTCCTGGTCGCCATTGCTGGTGCCTGGCCACTTCTCCAACATCCTTTGCCATGGGGACCAGTCTGCTGGAGAATGCAGACACCATTCAGATACTACTCACGCTGTGTTTTGATTTGTGGAATAATAGAGTACACTGCACTGATTGAAAAGAGAACGAGCAAGAGGGAAAAAAACAATGAAAGGAAAGCATCTCCAAAGTATAAAGAATGGAAGAAATACTTCAAACACAAGAAAATGAATCTCAGCAGATTAATTTTAGGGCAAAAAAAAAAAAGGTTACATAATCTCAGAATCACAAATAATAATATTTGAGAAATGATACAAATCAGGAAAATTTTCAAACATCTGGAGGGAAGCAAAAATGTAACCAATCTTCAATAGGGTGAAACAGATTTCAGAGATTAGAGTGCAGCCAGGAATCTTTAACGTTAATTTCTAAGCAAATTTCTAGAATGAATCATTGAACAGTTTCTGAACACTTGGAAAATAATGTGTCACAACTAAGGGTCAAGTTGGGATCACTGAGGCCAAATAATGACAAAATAATAAAACTCTCTGGTTAAAAGTGTCATTACACTGGGAGATACAATAGACTAAGAGCCACGAACTCAAATAGGGGGCGTGCAATACCACAGCTGAGAGCAGCGGTCTAGCGTCAGAACCACAGGGCATGGCGGGGTGGTGGCAAACTGGAGAGGCCATGCTCAGTCCCAGCTGAGCTGCCCCATGTAGCTCCTGTCAGTTGTTGCCACTGGAGAAGGCTAGCCCCAGGCAGGCTGGCTTCACACACACACACACACACACACACACACACACACACACACCTGGGAATCCGAATATTGGCATGCCATCTCCTAATTTTTGAAAGTTGGTGATTAATTAAAGGTTTGTAAAAGACTCTAAAGGCCAACAAAACTCATCCATAGACTAAATTCATCCTGCAGGGCTAGCACCATACTACCACTGAACAGACTATTCTGCATTTATTGAGTGTGGGTTATTAACTTAAACCCCTGTGCTTCAGTTACATGAGCTATAAAAATGAGAAAAATGAAGATCAGGTGAAATAATAACTTGAAAGTGCTCTGTATATTCTAAAGTACTACCCCACTCTGTTGGCATTATCTTGATTTCAGCAAGGCATCTGGTAAAACCACACATGAAGTCCTAGCGAATTAGATGGAGATATTGATGTTGAACGATAGCACAATTTGAGTGGACTGTTACCTGGCTGAACCATAACTAAACATCAGTGATGAATAACTTCAAGTTAATATGACCTCCCCTGACCTTCCCACTGAGAATCATAACTGCTCCTCACCTGCAATTCCTTTCCCTGATTTCCTCCCTCACTTCCTGTTTTGCTTTTTTCGTAATACCACTTAACATATTTTACTTAGTTCGTTTGTCGTCTTTCTTCCTCCAGTACAATATAAGTATCTGAAGGCAGGAATATTTGTCTGTTTTGTTCACTGCTGTATACCAACTGCCTATGGAAGCATCTGACATATAGTAGGTGCTCAATAAATATTTGTTGCATAAACGAATGGATGAATCTACGGCTAGATCTTCAATAAATGAACCCAATGCCCTTCCCCTTTCAGAACCTTAACAGTAGTCTGGCTGAAGATACACTGAATAAAATTTCAAATGACCCACAGTTAGAAAGGAAAGGTAATATAATGGATGGTTGAAACAAAAGTTAAAATTACCTAAATAAATTGGGATGTTGGTCTGAAAATAAATAACTCACATTTGATGAGAACACATGTGAAGTCTTGCTTTTACTTCCCAAATCCCAGCTTCACAAGGTGCATAAGACCTGGCTTAACAGCCATTTTCATTGACAATATGTTTAAAATTAACCAATGAAAGATAACCAGATAATGAAACCCACCAGTCTTTTTGAATAAGGACACTATAAATTAGAATTCATTGAGTAGAATACGGCCATAAGTCTGTAATTAATGACCTTTGGGTAGAATCAAAAGTTTGATCAAATCAAGGCCAAAACCTTGGAGGTGTGTTTGACTGCATTCTTCCTCACACTTCACACATCACTGGGAAATCCCATTGCTTACCTTAAAATACATTCTTTTAAAACATAAGAAGATAAATCCCTCTGCACGTCCCCATTTTATGCAGAGAAAAGCAAAAGTCCTGCAGTGACCTGCCGGACCCTGTGTGGTTCTCTCCTTCCCCATCTGATTTTCTCCCTACTATTATACTATTTGCTCTGTCCCAGCTGTCCTAGCTTCCTTGATGATTCTCAAACACCCAGGGCAAGCTCTAGCATCCCCACCTGGCACAGCATTGCATGCAAGCCTGGTCATCTCTTCTCAGCCAGAGCCATCTCATCTCAGCCAGAGGATCCCCCATATTGCGCCAAGTTTTAGTCAGCCTGCCTCATGCCCTGCCCCAATGAGATGATACCTCTTTCTTTGCCAGAAAACTCCATCCCCTCTCTAGACATTGCTTGGGTTCTACCTCCTGCACAGAGGTCCCACTGCTTGTGAGGTCCCACTCATAAGCCAAACAGATCTGTTTTGGAGTCTGTGTTTTCACTTAGAAGCTGTGCAGTCTTGGGAAAGTTATTTGGCCTTTCTGAGCCTATTTTTGCATCTACAAAATGGGGATTAAAAACCTCCAGTGTTTCTGGGAGAATTATATAAAATAATCTATGTAAGTTCTGACAGTGATTACTTAATGTAAATTAGCTATTATCACTATTATTTGTTATGTACTATATTTTATACTATTGTTCCAGAAAGGTGAAACAGCTTCCCCAAGGTCACACAACTGTTTGTTGGCAGAGCTTGATTTAGCTTTTCAGCCCATGAACAACTCTTTACCCTAATGGAAAACACAATGACTTCAGGATTTGTAAGCCGTCTACATTCTTTAAGCATGAGTCTCAGTGCTGGCATTCTTATACCTCCAAGAAGTGCCATTAGGCCACGGTGCTGGGATTTACAGGAAGCTGTTTGTTCCCAGGGATTTTGTAGCAACCCCAACCAGGAGGAACTGGGGCTCTGTTCTGCTTCATCAGAATCAAGAGATGCTTCCAGGCTTGCCTACCCAAGTGAAGACCCCGAGGAGTGCTTTTTAGCACCATGAGTATACACACAGACCCTGGAGCCAGACTGCCAGAGTTCAAATCCTCACTCTACCAACTTATTAGCTCTATTACCATTACCAAGCTCCTTAACTTTTGTGCCTTTATTTCTCCATCTTTAAAACAGGGACAAAACAGTATCAATGGTACCTCATAGAATTGTGAGGATTAAATCAGCTAATTGATTTAAAGGACTTTGAAAAATGTCTAACACCTTATAAGTTCTCAATAAGCAATAACTACATTCCAGTCCCTGTGAATACATTTTTTCACTCCTAATTCCACAGATATTTCAGAGTGCCCAAAGCAAAGAGCTTCTCCAAGGTAGAGAAATAGTACCAAATCATTAAGAAATAAATCCCACTGATTTACAAGACTAAACTGAAGCCTTCACTGAGGTTGGGATGTATACAGTGCCCTAAACACTTCTACTTGCATTTAAATGTCTGTGACCTTGAATTTCAAGGTTCTCCTTGAAGGAGCATCTCCCCATCTCATGTAACACAGTACAATCTGATTAGCAAAATTGATTTACTACACAGCCCCTCCTCAAATATATCAGGATCTGCACCATGAAGACCATGTATGGCCCAATGGATCCTGCTGGATGTCAGAGATGGACGCTATGAAGCACATTTGAACACTGGAACATGGAATCACCAAGATAGGGAAGGCAACTTCTTGTCATACCTGTCCCTCATCCTAGTGAATCCTTAGCTCTAGGTCCAGTCCTGAAATCATAGAGCTCCGAGTGACTGAGCAAATGATGTAAAGGTCATGACAAAGGAGGAGCAGTACTTAATAATCTCAGCGTTTTATACTCTAAACTCTGAAACAAAAGGCCAGAGACGTGGTCTGGCCAGGAGATGTGCCCGAAGGTCAGGTACAAGGTACCTGGTACCTCAGTTCTCAATTTAACCTTTGTCTGCTCAACCTTCCTACTTCCTTGCAAAGCCAAACATGGACAGGCATCTACTCTCATGCTCCCTCCCTGCCAGGCATATGCCAACAGTTACACCTCAAAAGGGCAGATACTCCTCCAGCCTCCAATCTGGGAAGTCACATCCCCTTCATCTCACCATGGGTGGCTGCACTCTCAGCTCCTGCAGTTTCTGGTTGAGCTCTCTGTATGCCTCCTGGAAGTTACTGTCTAGGGCTGGAGAAAGGGTCCTCACCAGCCCCCAAATCATGTGGCTCTGCAGAAAGTCCCTATGGAGACAAAAGAGACCCACATATATACCCTAGGCTTCTGGGATGTCTCAAAAAAAGCCTTCTCTTGTAGATGTCACCTTGATTCTCCTGGGGGCAGCTCTTTCTCCTCTGTATTTAATAAGTTTTTGACATGTGAACAAGCCAAGAAGAGCTTTTCTTGGTGTGGGCTGGGGTGGGTTTGGGGATTGATAGAAGAAGGAACTAAATAAAGAGGCATCACATCTTGGGCATGAGTGGTGACAATCAGCTTTGTATCTCATGAATATTCATAACCAATAAAAATACTATGCAAATAAATAAATAGTAGCAGACTTCTTGGGTCACAGGGAGAGAAGGACCTGGACCAGATGAAGGCTGGGCTTGGATTTAACAAAACAGACTCATCTATTTCCACCACCGAGAAACCTTAGCTCATCTTTTTTTTTTTTTTTTTTTAAAAAAAGATGACCGGCAAGGGGATCTTAACCCTTGACTTGGTGTTGTCAGCACCACGCTCACCCAGTGAGCAAACCGGCCATCCCTATATAGGATCCGAACCCGTGGCCTTGGTGTTGTCAGCACTGCACTCTCCCGAGTGAGCCACGGGGCCGGCCCAAACCTTAGCTCATCTTAAGATGCATTTCCTAAGCACAATGAAGAGGGGTTCTGTGGCTTCTCTCAGCCCTGCCAGCAACTCTCTTCCCAGGTCTGCATTATACCCTCCTGTAAACCCGCTCATTTCATATGAGTGGTGCTTTGCCTCCTCAGAAAGGATTTCTAGATGTTGCTGCCACTGAGTCACTATGAAGAAGGGCCTGGAGTCCACCAAGCCCCTGCAAGGAAGCCACTGCCTTCAGGTGGTGGTCCACAGGTATCAGATGGCAGGCAGCCTAGCAGACAACCACACGTTCATGTTCCCACCCCTGCTGACTTCCCGATCCCAGCAGATATGGTCTTAGAAATGCGTTCCCACTGGGGCTCCAGAATCCTCTCACCATAGCTGAGAAATGGCCCCTCCCCAGGTTCCTCCCCACAGAGCAAGCCCTGCCTTCATCACCTCCATTTCCTCAGCTGCTTCTGCCTCATCCGTCAGCCCTCAGCTGCTGAAAGACATAAATGCTCTCAGCTGTCCCCAGTGCCTGGGCCTTCCTTCCAGCATCTACTGCAGCTCAGAGGCCCTTTCCAGACTGGTGTTATACCCCATTTGCCCCCATGTCTTGACTGACCTCTGTACCCCTCATGTCTGCCCCCACAGGCAGCAGGTCATCTCCCTGGGAGGCCCTTAACAGCCTGCATCCCTCAAGGTCTCCTTTGCTCCTGTGACCCATGGGTTCTTAGACTCTCTTCTCATTTCCATTCCCTCCCCATTCCCACCTGGAGCAAACCTGTGCTTCGACAGCTCATCTTCTATCAGTTGTGACATGTTTTTCAAATACTCCAGGTCATGAACCATGAGGGGTTGGGAGGGGCTCAGGGTCATCGGTGTGAATGTCGCTTGCAAGCAGGACAACCAGTCGATGGTAGGGGCCATTTCCTTAAAGGAAGGACACAAAGCTGGGGGGATGGGGGAGGGAAAGAGGAGAGAAGGAAGGGGAAAGGGCTTCCTCTTGGGTTTGAGAGAAAGTGAGGAAGGGGATGGTTGGGGGAGGGGATGGAGCCAGAGAAAGTTAGGGATGGAAAGAAACTATGGGCATTAGAAGGAAGACAACAAGGAGGTAAAGAAAGTTTGGGAGAGAGACCCTTGCGTCCACGGTTCTCTGGTCCCTGGTTCAAGGCACCTGCAGTTGGTCAATAGTGACCATGTGGTAGAGCTCGCCAGGTGCCCGACGTGGCTCCACGGGTTTCAGGAACTGGAACAGCCGCGAGGCAATGGCAATGGACATAGAGGCATGTTCTTGCACCTTGTCTGGATTTCCTCCCAGCAAGGTTCCCAGCCGATTCAGATAAGTCAGATATTCTCGAAAGATCTGGGGGAGGGCAACCTAGGTCACAGATGCCAGAGGCCACTACCTTTCTCCTGGCCTCAGAGGGTAGGGCCTTTGTCCACACACCATCTTACCTGGGCGGAGATCTTCTGTTCCTGCTCTTGCTTGAGGAAAACGTCAAACTCAGGCTGTTCTATCTGGACACAAGAGAGACTGGAAAGAAGTGGAGAGCATGGGCGACAGAGAGGGCAGATGTGTGGAGGTAGGGAATGTACTGTGGAGACTGTTTCGGGAGATGGGAAGAAAGAGCAGACAGAGAAGGAACAAGAGTATAAAGAAAGGGAGAGACTGAGTGTGAGGAGTAAGACGGGAAACTCCAGACATGGGAATGAGAGAGATGGTGGTTATTACAACCAGTTTGGGGATGTTCTGCAAGACAGTAGCACAGTAACCAGCATCCTAAAGGGAATCATTGCCTGTGCCAAGCCAGGTCTAGCATGAGAGAGGTGAGACATCTATCTCAGGTGCAAAATTTAAGAGGTACTAAAAACTCAGTAATCAAGGTAAATATTTTAAGTAATACTTAACAAATCGAAATTAATACAAAAAAAATTCATGATAAATAAAATATCAGAACTTTTCTTATCATGAATNACTCAGTAATCAAGGTAAATATTTTAAGTAATACTTAACAAATCGAAATTAATACAAAAAAATTCATGATAAATAAAATATCAGAACTTTTCCAAAAAAAACTCTACAATGTATTTTTGATTCATTCTGGAAAAATTGTGTTTTCAAAAAGGTCCACAATAGAGTTTTGTTCTATCTTGGGGGGGGTGGGGGAGGAAGCATGATCTATTGTCAAAAATTTATGATGAACAAAAATTTGATATTTTGTTCATTATAGATTTTTGCATTGATTTTGATTTTTTGGTTTGGTCTGGTTTGTTTTTTTGGAGGCTGGCCAGTACAAGGATCCAAATCCTTGACCTTGGTGTTATAACACTGTGCTGTAAATAACTGAGCTAACCAGCCAGACCCTGATTTTGATTTTTAAAGAATGCTTATTAAAATACAGTTTATTTTGATGCTGAATTTTAGGCAAGTGCCCCACACGCCTCACCTTATTTCTGGCCCTGGTGTGCCCTTGAATTCTATTCTGAAGATCTTTGCTCTGACACTTTCCTTTTTCTTCTCCAATTTCAATATCCCACTTCTACCTTGAGCTACATACATTTCCTCTATCTTGAAAAAACTTTCACTTGACCCTTTTGTCACATTTTATGTCCAAAGTTTAAAGAACAAAAAGTATCTATGTCCACTGTTTCAACTTTCTTACCTTCCTCCTAAACTCCTTATCACGTGTCCCTATCCGTAACTGTTTTGAAACTATCTCCAAGTTTCCAATAGAAAGTTGAGCTTAGAAATTCCTCATTCCTTGTTCTGTAAGCTTAGAAATCTCTGGAATCGATGATGACCCCTCCTTCCTGAAGCTTTTTCCTTTTTCCCTTGTGGATGCCCCATGTTGGTCTAACTCTCACCTACCTGACTGTTCTTACTCTTTCCTGGCTCTCCTTCTGTCCCCAAGTCCCTCCCTGGGGTGCTCCTTCCCCATTAGTCCATCCAAACTCAAGTGGATGGTAACCACTCTCCGGCCATTCACACCAAATCAAAACTATGGGGTCATTTTATGATTCTTCTGTCTCCTTTATTTATATTCCATCAGACACCAACTTCTCTAGGAACATCATGGATCTTCACCACCATGGTGAAGTTGCCTAAATCCTCATGCCTGGTTCTTCCTTTCTATTCCCCGCCACCCTATTGAAGGACCTCAAAAACTCTCATTTAGATTCCTCAACACCTCAAGATTGACCTCCAAAATTGCTGACTTGAGTTAAGCTCTATACAAAACCATCAATAATATTTGACCAGCCCTAGTAGCTCTTTTATTCTACTATGTCAAAAATAATCACCTCTGCTTGACTTCTTAAGCCAGTAATAATCAGGCCCAACCTCATGTTTTCAGCCTTACTTTTACACCCTATGGTACCCCACCCCTTCCACCAAGCCCCCAGTTAAACAACCAATCTCCTCTCTGACCCCAGGGAGGAATCATGCCATTCCAGATTGTCCTCTTAGATCAGGATTTCCCTACAGCTCTTTTAATGGCCCTCAGCTTTACCTTCACCTGTGTGAATTGACCGTGCTTCAAAGCTCAGCTCACATTCTCTCCTCTCTGAGCCTTTCCTCAACCATTTCAGTTCTTAACTAATCCCTAAAGGCCACACCAGCTAAACTCCCAAGCACACTCTTCAGAACTGAATCTCAGAACACCTCATACTCTCTATCACTTCTCCTTGTACATTCATCCTCCTATACTTTTGTGGAATTTTTGAGAGTAGGGGCCAAGTATATAGCATTCCATTGCTTAACACAATAGTGATGGCCCTAAAGTTTTTATTTATTTCCTCACTCAACAAACACCTGGGGGGTGGGGGGGGTTCTGGCTGCCCGGCCCTGAGCCAGGTCCTGAGGAACAAAGGCAGGAAAGGTACAGGTCCTGTTCTGAGGAAGCCCACAGAGTGCTGAACACTGAGAGCATGAGGAGACCAGAAGACAGAGGGCTTCACCTGACTCATAGCTGGGTGTTCGCAAAGACTTCCTAGAAGGCGTAATAATCAAAGCCAACATGTGAAAAATATGTAAGACTTTTCCAGGTGGAATGAGGGAGATTGTTGCAGGCAAAGTGATCAGCATATACAAAGAATGGTGGAATATTCTTGGAGCTACAAGTGAGTCAGCATACTTAGGGTAAAAGGGGGCAAAAGGATGCGGCAGGAGATAAGGCTGGGGAAGTGTAGGGGTCAGATCACCAAGAACCTGCAATGCTTTCCTAAGGCTTAGGGACTAGATCCTGATGACCTATTGAACCACTGGAGCATTTAAACAGAGACAAGTGCATAATTAGCTCTTGGCTCAGAAAGTTTCCTTCTGGTGAAAATGAAGAGTAAACCAGAGGAGGGAAATCCTGGAGACAGGCGGACTCGCTAAGAGGCTCTGGAGTGGTCCAGTTTAGTGGTAAGAAAGCCCCGAACTACTCTATACTCCCAGGACTGGCCCTGCTACTCCTTCTCCCACCCTCTCCTAGTATCCCTGACTCTCATATCAATAATTTTCTCTTAAAATAGTGCTGTTCCCTACATTGCACATTTATCCTATCTCTCCAATCTGCAACATTCTTCTAAGAGATGATAGGCTGCACTTAGAGGCAGAGCCATATCCAACTGTGTTTTGCCAGTGCGTCTCTCACCTGGATGACTGGTGTGTGTGCAGAGTCAGGATGAGGTCCCAGATAGGCTCTGAAGAATGGGAAGTGGTCATACTGACTCATCAGAAGTCTCAGAGTTCGGTTAAAGTCTAAGGAAGTCCAATGACCAGAGATTCGCCAGCCTCCAAGCTAGGAAGAAGAGAGACAGGGCTGAGCATCAGGATCTGTGAGACCTATCCCCCTTTATCTCGATGCTTCCTTCCTACATAGTTGCTACCTCCTGATCTCTGCCCTGAGTCCTTTGATCCTCCAGAGCTCCACAGCTATCCTTCTTTCTCTTCTCTCACCCAAGGTCCTGATTCTCCCACAGGGCATTGCCATTTCCATCTCCATCTCCCTCCTAGAACCTGAGGATCCCTAGGAAAAAGACCCACCCTCTAGGAAAAAAATGGCAGCCCCAAGCATGCATTGGTCCTATATGTCATGTATCCAAAAAAGTTGATGCCCCAGCTTTTCTCACCTCCTCAATAACTTGTCTGAGGGGACCAGCCCCTGCAGCTTCAATGGCAGGTGTGTCCATGCAAGAGCTATAGAACTGGAAGGCTTTCTCTTCCCCAGAACCTAGATGCTGGGAACCTGGGGACTCTAGAAAGGAAGCATGGGAAAATTAAAGGAGAGTAGACTGGTATAGAGACAAACAGAGAAGATGGAAGACAGGAAGCTTATAGGACAGAAAGAGAAGAAGTCTGCAGGGGTATGGAAGGAAAGTAAAGAAACTTGAAAAGGTGGGCGGACTGCCCAGTTTGGAATGGATCAACTTGATGAAAGGATAAGAGCAGAGAGGAGGAGTGGGAAGAAGACAATGAGGAAAATAAAGGAAATGTGGAAATAACAAACAAGGAGGAAAAGACATGGAAAGGAGTGAGAGAGAAACGAGTGGAATGTGGGTAAAGGAGAAAGGGTAGAAATAAAAGGCAGGAGAGAGATGAATGAAGAAATTCAGGAAACTAGAGAACTTAGAGGGATTGAAGAGGGAAACAAAACTCATAGGAAAGGTTTAGCAAAGAGAAGAAACAAGGGAAGACTCACCTAGTCCGGACTCTCCTTACCCACTGATCCCAGGAAACAAACAAATAAGCACATTACAATAATCCAAGCGCATATCCATCGGAATCCTCCACCCTTTAGTCCCCCGGATATCTCTTTATTCCATTGTGGTCAATAGAATTCATCCTGGGCATATTTTTTCCTTTCATCTTTATGCCTTAACTGGAAGTTCCCTCTACCAAGA